GTCATTTTAGAATGAAGAGATGCACTTTCGAAATTCTTTTGGAAAAATTAAAACCTAAATTAATCAATTCTTTCGGAAGACCTTGTTTAGATGCAAACAAGCAAATTTTGTCGGTAATTTGGCTTCTAGCAAATCAGGAATCATTCAGGTAAAATAAACTACTTAATAAAGTTTAAAGCTAAATACTGTATTTAAATTTATTAAATAATTAGATAAGCCAATAGTTAAGTGATAACATAATTTATTGTTACTAATTATGTATGAAATTTGCCAATATTAAAGATTTACAAATAAAAATAAATTTATAATTTTCTTAAAGAAATTCCTCGAGTCTGTTAAACTTAATGAAGTTAATACAAATAATTTGTATGGTAATATTGGTATTTATTAAATTTAAGTATAATTAATAACTTTTTTATTTCATTATAAGTCTGTAGCAGACAGATTCAACATCTCAAAATCTACCCTGTATAAAGTTTGTACTGAACTCGTAACAATGGCAAGTGATGTTATAAAATAGCCAAAATTGGAAGAATATGCCTATTTAACCAGAAAATTTAAAAATATAGCTTGCTTCCCAGGTATAATTGGGGCAATTGATGGGTGCCATATTCCTATTAAAGCTCCAAGTGAAGCAGCGGAAAAATATGTAAACTGGAAGAGTTTTCATTCTGTAATTTTGCAGGCAGTCTGCAACCATAACTTAGGTTTTACAGACTGTTATTGTGGCTTTCCTGGTTCTGTTCATGATGCCAGTTTTCAGAAATTCTGAAGTGATTCAGAAACTTAATGGTTCTTCTTTATCAGATTATCACATTGTGGGAGATACTGCCTACCCACTTATTGTGTCATTGATGGTACCATTTAAAAATAATGGTCACCTAACTGCTCAAATGCATACATATAATAATAAGCTGTCAAAAAGCAGAATTGTTATTGAGAGCAGCTTTGCATTTGTCGTGTCTATGCGCAATAACTACGGATGAGAATACGGATGAGACTCTGAACACTTTATTATTCGTTTTTGGCTACAGTTAACGGTCACCGATTAAGCGCGCAAAGCCCGGTTCAACTCAGTGTTGCCAGATGTTTCTTCTCTCTCGCTGTTGGTGGGCCCGCTCGTTGTAACATCCCTTACATCCTCCCCACCTTGGTCCTCTGCTTCTAATGGGAGGACCAATTGAATGGGGCTGCTGATGCGCTTCTGATCAGGGATCCTCAGACGGCAGGTCCACATGCAACCATCGCGGCCGGCAATCAGCTGTTCGATTACAGCTGTCCTCCACATCTGTCTCGGCAGCGAGTCCTCCCTAAGAAGAACGAGGGCTCCTTCACGGGGTGGTGGCAGTCTCTTCCTGACCCTACGAACATGATGAAAGCTTTGTAGGTCAAGCAAGTATTCCTTTTGCCATTGTCTCCAGAAACTGTCGGTGATCGACTGTTGGTGACGCCACTGTCTCATGAGGTCATGAATTGGGGTATGATCATTAGGCTCTGGGAGGTCAGAGATTCTTTTCCCTATCAAGAAGTGAATGAGAGTGAGGGCTTCTGGCTCCTCGGTGTCATAATTGTGTACCAGAGACCTGCTATTGAGGGCGGCTTCTACTCTGGTGAGTACGGTGGACATCTGTTTTGCATTTACTAGGCTTTTCCCTAGTATCTTACGGAGGCATCTTTTCACACTCCCCACCATTTTCCCCACCAAGCTGCCTTCTCCACATTAAAGACTCAAGTGATGCTTGTGATTAAAGACTCAAAGTGCTTAAAAAGTGCAAAGACTCAAGTGATTAAAGACTCAAGTGGTGAGCAGAGTAGCGGGCAAGCTGCTTATCAGAGAGTGATTGCCAGAGATCCTGTGGTTCCTTGATGGCTGTGTGGAAGGATTTGGCATTGTCGGAGTAAATCTTGCGAGGGAGGCCTCGTTGTCCTACAAAGCACTGTAAACAAAGGAGGAAACTGTCTGTTGACATGCTCGAAGACAGCTCTCGTTGTGGCGCAGGTGAATAGTGTAATGTACGACTTTTATATCGACTGTCCCTTTCGGATATACAGTGGGCCGGCAAAGTCTACCCCTGTGACAGAAAGGCGGAGAGAGTAATACATGGTCAGGAGGGAGGGGGCTTCGGTTTCTTGGTAAGGCTGATTCCTGTGGTGCTGGCACAGTAGGCATCTATGCAGCATGGTCTTAATGACTTTGTGAGCTCGCAGGATCCAGAAATCTTCTCTCAGGTTGGCAAGAACCACACGAGTGCCCAGATGCCCCAGGCGTAAGTGGCAGTTTATGATGAGGAGACGGGTGAAGGTGTGTCGGCCATCTAGTAGAATTGCATGCTGTGTGGAAGCGCAGACATCTGCAAATTGCAATCGGCCCCCTACTCTTAGGATCCCATTGGACAGGAATAGGTGGAAGCGATAAATGGGTGATTTTTCTGAAATGAGTGTACCGGAGTTGAGTGCTATTAACTCATCAGCGAAATATGTCTTCTGTACTGATCTGATCCAGTGGTCTCTCACTGAGCTTACTTCGTCTGCTGAGAGTTCTCCTTGTGAGTGATTATTCCGGGGGGTGAATTTTGCAAAGTGTAATGAAGCGGAGGATCCAGGCTGTTACTCGGAGGAGGCGTATGTAGCTACTGAAGCGAGATGTATCTAACAACTCGATATGGGCTGCAGTGTGCAGGGTGACCACATGTTTGCGTTCCTCTGCGGTGCAATCTGATGGTGGCGGATGGTCATTGGTTGGCCAGTATTCTTTTGTTTGTGATAACCACTGAGGTCCGCGCCACCAGAAAGTGTAACTGCGTAGGTATTCTGCCGTTAGGCCTCGGGATAGGTGGTCAGCTGGATTGTCTGTGCCAGGACAATGGCGCCATTGATTTGGGTTGGTGAAGCTTTGAATCTCCTTCACTCGGTTTTGTACAAAGGTCTTCCATCGATTGGGGTGTCCACGAATCCAGCCTAAGATCACCTTGGCGTCACTCCAAAGGACAGCGTCCTCTCTTTGAAGGTTGGTTTCAGTAGTAACGTATTTTAGCAGGCAACAACCCACCAAGGCTGCAAGCAGTTCTAGCCGAGGTAAGGTAACCCTTTTGATGGGGGCTAGACGAGCTTTGCTACAGAGAAGACACATGGAAATGCCCGATGGAAGATTGGTACGGATGTAAATAACAGCACCATAGGCGCGCTCACTAGCATCGCAGAAGACGTGGATTTTTGCTAGATGTAGGTTAAATCTTGTCGTTTTGATCCATCTTGGTATGGACACAAATGACAAATGCTGTAGGTCTTCTACCCAGTGATTCCAATGAGTTGAGATGTCTGCTGGCAGAACTTCATCCCATTGGAGTCCGCGGAGCCAAGTGTCTTGGAAAATGATTTTCCTGGTAATGGAGACGGGTGCGAATAATTCGAGAGGATCGTAGAAACGGGATGTTGCGGCAAGTAGCAGGCATTTTGTACCGGGGCGTTCCACTGCATCCGAAACGACGTCATTATAGTCTATGGTGAATTCGTCCTTTGTGGTGTCCCAGTCTACTCCGAGAATTCGTGTTTTCTGGGCGTATGCTATCTTTGTGTCTTCCCATAGCTTCTTCAGCAATTTCGAATTGGTAGCCCATTTTGCCATGGAAAGCTGGATCTGACCCATCATATCTGTAATGTCCCGATATATTTGTATAACAGCGGGATCATCATCGTCTCCTGCTGAAAAGTTGTCCATATATAAACCTTTGTCCAGAATGTGGGCAGCTGAGGGGTGGCTGATTGTGGAACTGGCTGCAAGTTCCCGGAGTGCGGCTGATAGGAGAAATGGACTGAAAGCTAGTCCGAAAGGCAGGCATTGGAACCGGTAGGCGGCCAATTCCTTCGTAGTGTGTAGATACCTCTTTTCGTCAGTGACCACCTTAAACCAGAAGAAGCGGGTGACAGCTCGGTTGTCGGGGTGCAAGGTTAGCTGGAGGAAGGCTTGACTGCCGTCTCTCACTAATGCCCTTTTGTGAAGATGAAAGCAAAGTAGTGTCGCTATGATGTTCGGCATCAGGTTGGGACCCACTTTCAAGGCATCATTGAGGGCAGGGTGTCCTTTCACATGAGAAGAAGCATCAAATACGATATGCCATTTGGAAATGTTGTTTACTTCGGATTGCTGCGTGATGTGGCAAGTAGTAGGTCTGTTGTAATGTTGCTTGTTCGTCAACCTGTTCCACATAACCGTTGGAGAAGTAGTTGAGCATGTGGCGGGTGTACATATTGCTGAACTCTATATCTTTGCTGAATCTGCGACGTAGGGTCTCGAAACGGTACAGAGCAGTTGTGCGGTTTGTATCTGTGAGGCGGATGTTCTACTTCCAGGGCAGACAGACCTCTGCATTTTTTCCCTTGATCCGGAAAGATTGACGGAAGCCGTCGAGCAGGTGTGCATCATAGACGGTCAATGACTTCTCCTCCGACTCTCAGATGCCGAGGGTATCCAGATCCCACATTGATCGTAGTATCGGGTCCAAAGGAGTTGCAATACTATTAACCTGGACTGGGTGAATCGAGACATTAGTCCGGTTACCATTCAAAATCCAGCCAAAGTGAGATGGGACTAATGTCAGGGTGTCATTTATGTGAACAGGGCTTTCCGTTTTGAGAAATCGCCAATAAAAGTCGGATCCGATTAGTATTTCGATGGGTAAATCACATGGCTCCTGCTGTGGGTCTGCAAGTTCTAGCGGTGGCATCTCTCTGACGGGATAGGCGAACTGTGATACTGTCGGATGAGGGAGGTACGTATTTGAAGATTATGCAGCTATTAAGGATGTAGCAAGTCTGCTGACACAGCTGGACAGAGTGAGTTGCATCTGACGATGTGATGTGTAGGTACTAGCATCTAATTTAAAGGCTTGAATTGCCAACGGTTCGTATCCAATCACTTCCAGTTCTAGCGAGTCAATGAGGGGGTGCCAACGAAACTCGTTTGGCTTCCTGGGTCTAAGACACATCTAACTTGTCTTGTGGTGCCCTTTGCTCCATGAACCCAAACTCGAGCTGTCTGTAGATACGTAAAGTCTGAGTGCACGTCAATTTTACTCACTGTGGCTCGAGTTGTGCTAATAGTTGAGGGAGCAAACCCCAGTGCAGATGTTGTGGGTTGCGTCATAGGTGGTGTCGGTCTGTTAGCTGCGACCGTCGTGTGAGTCTGCGTTGAGTCTGCCTCACATATCGAAACGTGATGATTGCGTCCACATCTCGACATGTCCGATTTTCTCGTCAGGGACAATTGGGAGCGGTATGGTTTAAGCCTAAGCACAGAAAACAACGGTTGGTCTCGCGCAGTTTTTCTGCACATTTTCTCAGATTTGTTATGAGTGTGCAGTCAGAACTGAAGTGGAAGAAGCTGTTGCAGAAGGCACACAAGAAATAGGAGGATCCTCTACCTTTGATGTTTCTTCCCATGGACTTATTCCTTGTCCGGACTGCTAGAGCGGCTGCTGTAGCTTGGGTTTTTTTCTTGTCAGATATTGGTCCTGTGTTCCATGGATAGTAGCAGCAGTGGTGATACCGTCTATTTCGTCTCCCACAAACTTCAGCAATAGTTCCAGATCGGATTCACTGGTACCCTTATGATGGGCATGAATGAGCCATCGTTCACACAAAGAATCTGGGAATGCACGCAGGATTTTCGGCGTTAGGATGCGTCCATAGTGGCTAATGGGCTCTCCCAGGGCTTTCAGGGCATGCACTCGCTTGTTGCACTCCACGAAGAGGTCGTTCAATTTGGCGGAGGTCGGATGGATTAAAGGTTGTAGACCCTCTAGGTAGTCGATGTTGGCCTGAATTATATGGTTCTTATCTCCGTATTTCTTCAGTAGTCGTGCCTTGGTCTCTGCATATGTCCCTGCGGTTATGGCAATGCCATCTACTAGGTGCTTAGCCTCACTGCGAAGATATCCCCGAAGGAAGACATGCTTTTTAATGTCCGGTATATTTGGATCCTCATCAATGGCTTCTGTGAACTGTTCCCAGAAGCGTTGCCATTTAGCTATTTCTCCTTCAAACGATTCAAGGACCAAGGCGGGCAATCTGGTGCGAGTGGGTGCCTGTGGTTGACCAATAAAGGACGGGGAGTCGGGACTGATGGGGCTTGCCGGGGTGAGGTCGGATGCGGCATTCCTACGGTCGAGAACTCGTTGGGCTCGAATCACGGCAAGTCGGGTAGATTCTTCTCTCTCTTCACAGGCAGCAGCGTCGGTTTCGTATTCCGTGTCCTCGAGTTTATCGTGAATAGCTTCATCTAATATCTTTAACTCTCTAAGCCATTCGTTCAACATGTCACGGGACAGTTCGATTTCATCGGACGGCGTTGAGTCCAAAATGGCGTTGATCTTGCCGATCGTCTTCGTCACGGACGTTCTTATGGTATTACGGCGGCGTCGGAGCTTGCTCAATTCCTTGGTGGAATTTGGATTCGTTCCGTTTGGAAATGTTTCGATCAATGGTGACGGTGGGTTAACGAAATCAATTCTGTGGACGACGGAGAAGACGGGCAATATGGCGGACGAACGTACGAGGCAGTATGGCGGCGAAAGCCCGTAACGACGAGCGGGACGACAACGGATCGGATAATGGTAGTAACAAGAGAATTGCATACCTGTTGGCGTCGGTTCTGGCCAAATCCTGGTCACGGCACCAATTATGTCGTGTCTATGCGCAATAACTACGGATGAGAATATGGATGAGACTCCGAACACTTTATTATTCATTTTTGGCTACAGTTAACGGGTGACCGTTAACTGTAGCCAAAAATGCGCGATCAAGCGCGCGAAGCCTGGTTTAACTCAGTGTTGCCAGATGTTTCTTCTCTCTCGCTGTTGGTGGGCCCGCTCGTTGTAACATCCCTTACAGCATTATTAAAAGGAAGATTTAGATGATTAAAATATTTTGATGCAAATAAAACATCAATGTTGCCTCTCTACATATTATCAGCCTGTGTACTTTATAACGTCTGTTTGATGAATTTGACACAGTTAATTGTGATGATGAAACTCTTGAAACTGTATCATCTAATATACAATAAAACAGTGCTGCTCAAAGAAAAAGACGGCTTAGAAACTATCAGAAATATGTTATCAGAAATCATGTTTGATAATTACAGTATTTCTGTACAATGTAATATCTATTTAGATAATTATTCTTTGTCATGTCATTTTATAGAAAAATAAAAGTTTTCATGTTGAGTTCACAAATGATGATTTCAATATTTTAGTGATTTATTTACAATTAATTTAACCACTGTAAAGCAACTTAAAACACATTCAAACTATAAATCAATATTTTATTTACAAAAGATAATTGTTTTACTATTTATCGATTAACTGTTGTAATTTTTCTAATAGTAATTTTTTTATTTGTATATTTTCTTCATGGCGTTTTTCAACACTAATTCTGTAATTTTTAAACCATTTCGGTTCTTCTTCTATCCTGCACTTTTTGTTTGCAGATGCTTTAGGTGATGGCGTTTCCTGAGTTGTATTATTTCCATTTTCTGTTATGGTAACAGAATTATTAAATCCAGAGGAAGAACTAGCTAATGAAATAAAAGGATCCAGCGGTACAGCCTGAAATATTTTATCTAATTCAGCCATATAACGGCACTTTCTCGACCCATTTTTATTATTTTATAGTTATTTTTTAAAGATTTAAATTTATTTCCACACTGAAGTGGCGTTACAGAATAGCCATAGCTTTTAAAGCTATTGGCTATTTTTTCCCACACTTGTTTTTTTTTTAAATGAGGAGATGAAAACATGCTCTCATTTATTTTATATTGATTGAGAAGCAAGTGTGTGGTTTCATCACTCCAACTGAATGACACAGACTGACTTCCAGGAGCTTCATCTGTTGTTTGTCTTATGTTTGGATCAACTGAAAACATAAATAATTTAATTATATTTACTGTTTATGTTTAAAAAGTATATAGATGTGTTTAATCACATTTTCGATGAGACAGATCTAAATTTGATCAAGCTAAACATCAAGATTACTATAGTTTTTAAATTTAAAATGTCTATTTTAAAAGCAAAATGGTTAGATTTGTACAACAAAAGAATACTTAGCTTGTTCAAATTGATCTTCATATAAGTAAAATATTCTAATTAAAACTGATATTAATATGAATTGATTTATTATTAAAGCTAAGACATCTGGGTCCTAAAAGTCATATAAATAATTAAAGATATAAGTTATTTTTCATGCTTAGAAGCCCTAGCCTTGTATGTTATCACCTACTGTTCTGTAGCATATGTTTATTTTTTAAATATAAACATATTGAATTTATTCAGCTCCTATTCATTTATTATTTAACATATTAACTTCGTAACACAATTATTCACCTTTTGTTGGGATTTATAATCCAACTCAGTGTGTGATAAGTCCCAACAAAAAGTGAATAATTGTGCTACTTTACTTATTTGTAAGAGGACAAAAAGCTTATTAATTGTTCTATATTAACTTCAATAATTAAGGAAAAACTGTACAAAATGTATCAATTGTATCAACTGTTTAGAAATATTACTTGAGCATCAGATATAATCATTAATATTCTTAATTCTTGATATAATAATTATTTATAATGGTATGTTCCTTTATTATATACTGTACTTATATCTTATGCAGATGTGTAGTTTTTGTAAAAAAGTAATTAGGATAAAATACAGTATAAGATTTTATGAAATTTCGTATGTTAATTTTTATTTAAGGTAAAAAAAATAAGAAAAGAGCTCTGCTTACCATTCTCATTTCCACATTTCTGTACATTCAAACATTTCGTTATTTGTGACCTATTTCCTTTCAATCCACAATTAGCGCACATATGAAGTATATCAGAAAAATCGATGCTGTTGGACGCCATTTTCTTAACGAAGTAAACCAACTCTTTCCTTCGTGAACTTCGTTAGAGTTTCGTTCGAAACGTCATCACCGCAGAGCATGCGCACTGAGCGAGACTACTACTTTTCGAACGATTCGTTACTAACGCGTTTAACTCGTTCGACTTAACGAACGTACCCTT